TTTTTTCCCCTGTAACTGATTTCTAATCTCATAGCGTTGTGGCCAGAAAAGATGTTTCATATGATTTCAATTTTCTTAATTTTACTGATGCTTGATTTGTGACCCAAGATGTGATATATCCTGGAGAATGTTCTGTGCGCACTTGAGAAGAAAGTGTAATCTGCTGTTTTTGGATGGAATGTCCTATAAATATCAATTAAATCTATCTGGTCTATTGTGTCATTAAAAGCTTGTGTTTCCTTGTTAATTTTCTGTCTGGATGATCTGTCCATTGGTGTAAGTGAGGTGTTAAAGTCCCCCACTATTATTGTGTTACTGTCGATATCCTCTTTTATAGCTGTTAGCAGTTGTCTTATGTACTGAGGTGCTCCTATGTTGGGCACATATATATTTATACTTGTTATATCTTCTTGGATTGATCCCTTGATCATTATGTAGTGTCCTTCCTTGTCTCTTGTAACATTCTTTTTTTATTATTATTATTATTTTTTGCGGCACGTGGGCCTCTCACTGTTGTGGCCTCTCCCGTTGCAGAGCACAGGCTCTGGACGCGCAGGCCCAGCGGCCATGGCTCACGGGCCCAGCTGCTCCGTGGCACGTGGGATCCTCCCGGACCAGGGCATGAACCTGCGTCCCCTGCAACGGCAGGCAGACTCTCAACCACTGCGCCACCAGGGAAGCCCTGTCTCTTGTAATATTCTTATTTTAAAGTCTATGTTATCTGATATGAGTATTGCTACTCCAGCTCTCTTTTGATTTCCATTTGCATGGAATATCTTTTCCCATCCCCTCACTTTCAGTCTCTATGTGTCCCTAGGTATGAAGTGGGTCTCTTGTAGACAGCATATATATGGGTCTTGTTTTTGCATCCATTCAGCAGGCCTGTGTGTTTTGGTTGGAGCATTTAATCCATTCACGCTTAAGGTAATTATCGACATGTATGCTCCTATTACCATTTTCTTAATTATTATGGGTTTGTTTTTGTAGGTCCTTTTCTTCTCTGTGTTTCCCACTTAGAGAAGTTCCTTTAGCATTTGTTGTAGAGCTGGTTTGGTGGTGCTGAATTCTCTTAGCTTTTGCTTGTCTGTAAAGCTTTTGATTTCTCTGTCGAATCCGAATGAGATCCTTGCCGGGTAGAGTAATCTTGGTTGTAGGTTTTTCCCTTTCATCAATCATGCCACTCACTTCTGGCTTGTAGAGTTTCTGCTGAGAAATCAGCTGTTAACGTTATGGGAGTTCCCTTGTATGTTATTTGTCATTTTTCCCTTGTTGCTTTCAATAATTTTTGTCTTTAATTTTTGTCAATTTGATTACTATGTGTCTCGGCATGTTTCTCCTTGGGTTTATACTGCCTGGGACTCTCTGCGCTTTCTGAACTTGGGTGGCTATTTCCTTTCCCATGTTAGGGAAGTTTTTCACTATAATCTCTTCAAATATTTTCTCAGGTCCTTTCTCTCTCTCTTCTCCTTCTGGGACCCCTATAATGCGAATGTTGTTCTGTTTATTGTTGTCCCAGAGGTCTCTTAGGCTATCATCATTTCTTTTCATTCTTTTTTCTTTATTCTGTTCTGCGGCAGTGAATTCCACCTGTCTCCCAGATCACTTATCCATTCTTCTGCCTCAGTTATTCTGCTATTGATTGCTTCTAGTGTATTTTTCATTTCAGTTATTGTATTGTTTATCTCTGTTTGTTTGTTCTTTAATTCTTCTAGGTCTTTGTTAAACATTTCTTGCATCTTCTCCATCTTTGCCTCCATTCTTTATCCAAGGTCCTGGATCATCTTCACTATCATTATTCTGAATTCTTTTTCTGGAATGTTGCCTATCTCCACTTCATTTACTTGTTTTTCTGGGGTTTTATCTCGTTCCTTCATCTGGTACATAGCCCTCTGCCCTTTCACCTTGTCTATCTTTCTGTGAATGTCGTTTTTGTTCCACAGGCTGCAGGATTGTAGTTCTTCTTGCTTCTTCTGTCTGCCCTCTGGTGGATGAGGCTGTCTAAGCGGCTTCTGCAAGTTTCCTGATGGGAGGGACTGGTGATGGGTAGAGCTGGCTGGTGCTCTGGTGGACAGAGCTCAGTAAAACTTTAATCCTCTTGTCTGCTGATGGGTGATGCTGGGTTCCCTCCCTGTTGGTTGTTTGGCCTGAGGTGGCCTAATACTGGAGACTACCCGGCTCTTTGGTGGGTCTAAAGGTGGTGGACTCTGGGAAGGCTCATGCCAAGGAGTACTTCCCAGAACTTCTGCTGCCAGTGTCCTTGTCCTCACGGTGCACCACAGCCACCCCCCACCTCTGCAGGAGAACCTTCAACACTAACAGTAGGTCTGGTTCAGTCTCCTATGGGGTAATTGCTCCTTCCCCTGGGTCCCGATGCACACACTACTTTGTGTGTGCCCTCTGTTTCTCCCAGTCCTGTCAAAGTCCTGCAATCAAATCCCACTAGCCTTCAAAGTGATTCTCTAGGAATTCCTCCTCCTGTTGCCAGACCCCCTGGTTGGGAAGCCTGAGGTGGGGCTCAGAACCTTCATTTCAGTGCGTGGACTTCTGTGGACATTTATTCTCCAGTTTGTGAGTCACCCACCAGCAGTTATGGGCTTTGATTTTATTGTGATTGCGTCCTTCCTACCATCTCATTGTGGCTTCTCCTTTGTCTTTGGATGTGGGCTATCTTTTTTGGTGAGTTCCAGTGTCTTCCTGTCGATGACTGTTCAGCAGTTAGCTGCGATTCTGGCGCTCTCGCAAGAGGGAGTGAGCGCACGTCTTTCTACTCCGCCATCTTGAACCAATCACTACGTCTGCGTCTTTATTCCTGTCTTGTCCCTACGTTCTTCAGAACTTTTGGTTTTTTTTTTAGATTCCATATATATGTGTTAGCATACGGTATTTGTTTTTCTCTTTCTGACTTACTTCACTCTGTATGACAGAATCTAGGTCCATCCACCTCACTACAAATAACTCAGTTTCATTTCTTTTATGGCTGAGTAATATTCCATTGTATATATGTGCCACATCTTCTTTATCCATTCATCTGTTGATGGACACTTAGGTTGCTTCCATGTCCTGGCTATTGTAAATAGAGCTGCAATGAACATTGTGGGGTACATGTCTCTTCTTGCATTGTGGTTTTCTCAGGGTATATGCCCAGTAGTGAGATTGCTGGGTCGTATGGTAGTTCTATTTTTAGTTTTTTAAGGAACCTCCATACTGTTCCCCATAGTGGCTGTATCAATTTACATTCCCACCAACAGTGCAAGATGGTTCCCTGTTCTCCACACCCTCTCCAGCATTTATTTAAACAATGAATGTTGCCCAGCATCAAGCCATCAGCCACTGTAGCTGCCCCAGTGTTGTGCCCTGAGGGGATTTTAGGATGGAGAAAAACAGAATACTGGCCCTAGAAGGTTAAGATGCTTCTTGAACAAAAAATTCCAATAAGCCCGGACTCTTGCATCTTCCCATACATAGAAAAGCACTAAAATCATTATCTTGAGATGTCTGGTTTTTGTGATTAGCAGTAATCTTTTGATGTTTGACTACATTTTTTTTTTTTTCCAGCAAAAACTCCTCTATATCCTGGCTCCTCCCTTACCTCTTTGGAACTGTCCCTCAGAGCTATCTGAGAGGCTGTCTCCTGGGCTATAGTCCTCAGTAAGTTCCCTAAATACAACATAAATCTCAACTTTAGGTCAAGTGTGTTTCTATTGTTGTTATTCTTGTTTTTATACCCAACGACTATCAAGTAAGATATGATGCTCCACTTCCCAGGAGCCCTGCCCTTGTCATGGTCGTGAGTCAGTGTCCCTGCTTTAGACCTGGAGCCTGCTGAGGTATGCTCCTGTGTTCTCAGCCAGGTCTCAGGGCTAGGGTGGGCCCACCATTGGCACTCACATCATCTATCCTCACAGGGACTGCAAACAGGAGGCAGTGGTCCCATGGCCCAAAAGGTTCTGGAACGAGCAAAGTAAAGTTGGAAGGAAGTTGGAATCAGGATCCTCTGACCTTTAATCTAGGAATTCATAGTGTAGAGCAAAATATGCTATTTCTTCAAAATGTGTTAGAATTTATTTAAATTTAGAACAGGGTTTCTCAACCTCCGCACTCCTGACATGTTGATAATTCTTTGTCATGGGGCTGTCCTGTGCATTGTAGGGTGTTTAGCAGAGTCTCTGGCCTGTACCCCCTAGATGCCAATAGCATGCCTCTCCCAGTTGCAACAATCAAAACGTCTCCAGACATTGCCAAATAACCCCTAAAAGGTAAAAATGCCCTAGTTGAGAATCACTGACCTAGAATATCAAAACATTTGTGGCATTAGCTTATTTTCACAACTTACATATTATAGCTGCGAGTATATGGACTTCAGAATCCAACATATCTGGAATCAAATCCTGGCCCACACATTACTAGCTGTGTGACCTGGAGAAAGTAACTTAACATCTCTGCTCCTCAATTTTCTCACCTGTAAAATGGAGCAATAACTGGGCTGTTCTCATAGAGATGTTGTGAGGATTAATAAGACAAACCTCTTAATAGGTCAGATAAATATCAGCTAGCGTACTCCCCAGCCCCCTTTTGTACTGCTCTAATACCTGATATTTATGGATTTAGTCTCATGTCAAGGCTGCCTCTGGTCTTTGAGTTAGTGTGGGAACTAAGAACCCCCGAAGTCCAAGTACCAGGGTTCAAACTCCAGGTGCAGTCTGGAATGCACTGCTAAACCTCTGAAACCACAGTTTTTCATCTATTTTTAAAGAGAGAGATAATGAAAGACTCTTCCTTGCAGGGCTGTTGTGGGAATGAAATGACATATTCAGAGGCTGAGCTTATTAACCATTATTAGGTGCTGCAAGGCTGCACATGAATGCAGGGAAAAGTAAAGAGAGATGTTTTATAAAATTCTGAGAAAATCCTAGTTTTTCTCAACCTTCCTCCCCTATTGCTGCCCCACCTCACCCCACCCCACCCTGGGTAAATTTTCTGGAACCCCAAAGCCCTCATACCTCATCTTGTGAACACCTAAGGGGTCATAGAAGTTCCTCCTGGCTACCTCTTGGGGATCCTCTTCCTGTTCCTGGAGGCTCTCCTCAGTCTCCCTGGGCTGTGCTGTTCCCAGGTCCACTCCGACCACCCCCTGGCTCTTACTGTGGTGAAGCCAGATTTTTCTTCATGCCACGATCATGCTGAAGTGGACGCAATGCTCTTCCCGGCGTTGCAGGCTGTCATTTGGCCACAGATTCTCTGCCGAGTCTCAATTACCTCACCTGCAAAACGGAGCAATTCAAGTACCCTCTTCTCCAGGAAGCCTCACCTCCTTCAGGAATGCTCCTCATTCCTGCTATGCTGGGCATTTCTCTAACCCTGTAATTCTACCTCCCTTTAAAATAAACCTGTTTCCTTTTCTAAACCATGAACTCCCTCAAGTCAAGGACTATGTCCTATTCATATTTATATTCCATAATGTAATTCCTCCCACAAGGCAGATCCTCAATAAACATTTGCTGAATGAATGAGTGGGAGAGAGTAGGACATATGATCACACTCGAAACTGTAAGTGGGACAGGCTGGGGTTTGCCTCCCTTCTCACTCTTCTCTTGCCTTCACTTCCCAGATTTTTGCTGGGAAAATATCTTTTGTAAGATGAAGCAGAGACTGATGCTCGGTTAGCAGAGTAACTCATGGATGCTACGCTGTGAAAAGTGGTTAACGTTTCAAGATAAGTGTGATTTGAGTTGGGGGGTTTGGTTTCTCTGGGGAAAACCTAAAGAATCTACTGCTGCCCCTTCAGACTGAAAGCACTCAGCTGAGGGGGCCCTGGGAAGGGCGGTCCAAGGGCAGAGGGGACTGTGGGTGTGCAAGGAAATCCTAGTTAGCCTCCAGGGTGGGCTCCAATATGGACAGGCAGTGTCCTGATGGGAAAGGAAGCAAGAATCTGTATCATCCTCTGGGTTCCGAGTCTTCAAAAGCAGCTATAAGATTTTCTTTCTGGAAATCACCATACCTGGAGCCTCCCACCGTCACTCCCAACAAAATAACTTGACTTAATTAAGAGGGTACATTAGGAAAATGGACAGAGTTGATATTATGGTTTACCTGCTGTGGTTCAGAACTACGAGGCTGTCCTTGTGGGTTATCCATAGAGTGAAGGTTTGATTGACACTCTCCAGTCTGGGAGACCACAGTTCCAGCCCTATTGGCACAATTTACAGCCAGGTCAAAACTCAGATGACTGGGTCCCCGTTTCCTCCCAACTTGCAAAAATGAGAAGTTTTATACTTCACTGTGGGTCAACTAGATGGACTAAAGCATCACGTTGTTGCTCTCATGGCAAGGATGCAGAGTAAGAAACTGATCCTAACATGAACCCTGCCAATAATTTGCAGCATGACCTTTTCTAAGTCACAACTTTCCCAGACTTCAATGTTCTGACCTGTTCAGTGGAACTATTACTACTAGTTATACTGAGTCCTCAGGGATGTTGTAGAGATAAAATGAGACATTAGATTAAAAAACATGTCAAAATGGTTAGGTGCTGTGCACATTCAAGGTACTTTTGTTACCAATTTGTTAAATAACTAATACCAATTTGTTAAATAACTGAGTCAAATTCTCTTCATTCAATGGACTGCATATGAAGTGTGGAATTGCAGCAGTTGCTGGAGTGTTATTGGACAGCCAAGGGCGGTGGGCAAGAGAAAGGAATATGAAAACAAGAAAGATGTGCTCCATGGCCTTGAGGATCTCCCTGTGTCCCAGGAGGGATAAAAGCACACACAGCAATAAATCTCAGGTGGAATGTGTTAAATACCAAAGAAAACAAACAAAGCATTTCTGGGGAACATCTTTCTTCTCACCATGCAGATCACCGTCATTCACAACCAGCAAACACTGACCTCTTGGGAAGCCAGAGGAGGTAGTGGGTTTGGGGTGGTAAGCTCTCTTTTCTACAGTTTTTTCTTCTGATGTAAATCAAATCCAAATTTAGACTAGTTGAGCAAGACGATTTTGCAGCTGTCTGGACAACATTATGGCCAGAAGGTCTGATTCAAAAAATTTCAAAAAAAAGTTTAAAACCTGTTTGGCAAAAGCAGAGGTGAAAGTCAACAGCAGCAAGCTCCTCACAGACGCACGAGGTGCTACACAAGTAACTTTCAGCGATGTTTTCCAGGCTGGACCCAAGCATACACCTGCATAACAGAGAAACAGAGAACGTGTTCAAAGGCTGGGAGCCGAAGGGAACAAAGAAGGGCCTTTTGGGAGAAGTGCAGGAGCTTCTTGCGAAACAGCCTCTCCTCTGAGCCCCAGGGAGGACAGGAATGAAAGTTCGGCTCATCCGCTCCACCACTTGGCGCTCTCCTCTGAGCCCCAGGGAGGACAGGAATGAAAGTTCGGCTCATCCGCTCCACCACTTGGCGCTCTCTTGGCCTCAAGGGTATCCACAGTCCTCGGGACTAACTCAGGGCTTCAGCGGAAACCAGTGAAGTGAGAGGTGGAGAAGACTCCCCGTTATCCTGCCACAAATCCTTTCACGTCCCAGTCATTTTAGATAGGGGGCTTCTCACCACTTCCTGCTGATCAAAAGGTGACTCCAGGCTCAGACATCTTGGTCAGAAATTTTGTTCCCTAAGTTTTTCCCTGAGTTTTCCTTCGCTTGGTTTCACTTTTCAATTTCCATCTAGTCCCCAGAGGCTGCCCTAAACCATGCTCCTTCTCGGGCGTGCTCAGGACTATTTACGGATGGAAGTCTTATGCATCCCTTAATTGTCTGTCAGTCAAGCTATTAACAGGGACTGATACATCATAAATGTCAACTGTGGGCCATTCATAAAACTGAACACGTATATAGTCCTTTCCCGCATTCCGTCAGTTATTTTAAGGAAACACTCTTTTGTTCTAAAGTACTGTACCAGCTGGGACCCAGCCTTCCACATAGCTTTGGAAGCGTGTCCTTTGGGCCTGTGTTACTCTCTTCCTTACTCTCATGTACTCTGCCTATTCCAGAAAGCTTGCTTCTAGAAAACTGATAGTGAAAGCATCTAGAAAAGTGACAGTGGTTGCACATACGCACCAAACCCCCCAGACTTTTAATTCAGATTGAAAGAAAGAGCCTCAATTTTTGGTGTATTAGTTTCCTATGGCTACTGTAACAAGTTATCACAAACCTGGTGGCTGAAGGGTCAGAACCTAAAATCAGTTCACTGGGCCAAAATCAAGGTGTCCGTCAGACTGCACTCCCTCTGGAGGTTCTAGGGGAGAATCCTTTTCCTTGCCTTTTCCAGTTTCTAGAGCTGCATTCTTTGGCTTGTGGTCCCTTGTTCCATCTTCAAAGCCAGCAGTGTCACATCATAGTTCAAGGTCATATTTCCTTCCTCTACTGAGTCAAATCTCTCTGTGTTTCCCTCTTATAAGGGTGCTCGTGATAGCATATAGACGCCACCCTGGTAATCCAGGATAAATTCCTCATCTCAGTCTCCTCAATTGGATCATATCTGCAAAGTCTCTTTTCACACAAAAGGTAACTTTCATAAATTTCAGAGATTAGGACCGAGATATCTTTGGAGGCCATTATTCAGCCTACCACATTGGCAAATGCATTTGCTATGTATCTGAAATGCTGTTCAAGAAAGGTGCTGCTTCCCTGGGTTCCTGCTGCATATTACAAATCCAGGATAACCCACTATTTTGTAACTGAGAAAAAAGGAGTAAAAATCTAAGCATAATCAGGGCAGAAAGCCCTTCAGTGTTGATTACAGTAGGGCCTCACTAAAAACAAAACAAAGAAACGAAAACCTCCATTTAAGCATACCAGGGGTCTAGGTTTGCAGGCACCACGAGAAGAACTTGGAACAGTCCCACAAGCAAAGACCACACTCCAGGCTCACTCCTAACACGTGCAAGCCCAGTGCAAAAGTACAAGTGGAAGCCCACATAGCATGTGTCTAGAATATTAAAAAATACAAATCAAGATTACATTAAGTAAAATGTGTTCTCTCCTCCTACATTGTCCAATAGAGCTTCACAATGACATGAAAGCCATACTTGAATTTAGGAAATTTGGCCTTCCCATGTTTTGTCAGGAAACCCTGAGGGGGCGTGTAGAGAGATCGCCACAGCCTCCAGCGCCTTCTCTTCTCACCTCCCACAAGCACTTTGAGGGGCTCACATCACCTGCGGACACTCCAACCCACACCTCCTAAGCTCCATCCCCACTTCCCCATAAAAAGCTGCCCATTGGCTGCCCTCAGGCCCAGGGTCATTTCCTCAGCAGGACTACCTGCCCTTAGATGAGCAAACAGAGAAAGAGGACTGTGCAGGCCCTGGCTTTGGGTCATTTGTGCAGGGAAGTCAGGGTTACAGATACCCAGCTCATGAACTGGGACCATGCTTCTCTGGGCAAGAACTATTTTTTGTCGTGTTTTTAAAATGTCCTCTCCACTACGGATCAATACTTTTATAAAATACAACTTAAATGTTTGAGAAGTGTCAAACTGCTATAGAAAGCACTGAACACTGACTCTTATTTAGCTCATCGTGGACCAGTAGCAAACAGACCACACTTTGCATACCACTGGATGAGAAGATGAACATGGGCGTTCTACACTGCATCTCAAATCACCCAAACTTCGTGGCTTACAACAACATATATTTATTATCTGGAGTTTCCAGGGGTCAAGAGTCCGGGCATGGCTTACCTTGGTCTTCTGCTCTGGGTCTCACCAGGCTGCAATCGAGGTATTAGCCAGAGCTGGGGTCTCATCCGAGGCTCAGGGTCCTCTTCCAAGGTCACTGGCTGTCGGCAGAATTCCATTCCTTGTGGCTGCAGAACTATTAGCAACTTGCTTCTTTAAGGCCGGTAGGAGAATCTCTCTTGTCAGGAAAGGCTCAGTCCCCCTTTTAAAGAACTGGACCTAATCAAATGAGGCCGAACAGGAACAATCTCTCTTTCGATTAGCTTACAGTCAACTGACCAGGAACTATAATGATCTCTTCCAAATGCCTTTTCCATATAACATAATCTGATCACAGGAGTGACATCCATTATATTATTAGGTCCCACCACAGGGAGAGGGGAAGATACAGGGGGTGGGAATCGTAGGTGGCATCTTAGAATTCTTCCTACCACAGTGGACTGAAGATGGTTACACCCTGTGGCCCTGTGGACTCTCCTTTTCATGGTGAGAGGAAGGCCAGAGAATGACCTTTGAAAGCTCAGGGCCTGGGGCAGAGGCCCCTCACCCCCGAGAGGTACTGCACCCCCCATCATAGCTTAGGATTAGAACTATGTCAACATTCCCTTCAGAAAGCCCAGACTCCAATGCTGAAAGACTCTCCTCCATTCATTTGCTTTCCTGCCAATAATTCTTGCCTCCCCCTCACCTTAGTAGTGCTTATGGACAGACAGGTTTTTCACAGCTGTATTAAATCCATATTTTGTAATTCTGGAGTTACCAACATTTGGTTGCTTGGAGATTGACATATTATCAGTAAACACCAGAAAGCTCCAATTCCCTTTCTATCAGGAGCTGAGAGTTCATCTGGGCTCCTTGTTTACATAACTGTGCATTCCTAGAAATTACTGCAGGATCAGCCTAGGAACATCATTCTGATTCAACGCATGGGAATATTGCTATACAGCCCATGAGATTCTAATGCAAAATGACTGATTTATAAACAAGCTAACAGAAAGTTATACATGCAAGTGAGTTTTGACCTTCAATATAGTATCCTCAGAAGACCATATGCTAGTACTAATGAGACTGCCATTGCACAAATCATTTTTTGGAATTCCTCTTTGGGAAGAACCTTCAAACACCTGTGGCATACTCTATTTAATAACCCAGTGGTGACAAATCTTCACCTATTGATTGTGAATTTAATTGGGGGAAGAGTCATGTCATTCAGATCCAAAGGTCATGATCAATTAATTTATAGGTAATCTAACTGAATTAAGAAAACAAGGTACATATAAAAGTGCTTTTCCCAAGTTGCTCAAAATGTAAATGTACTCCCATTTAGTAGCATGTACAATGACCAAATAATTGCAAATAAGATCACAGCCTACCAGAGTGACCATCTTGAAGAATAACATAACAATTAGTGCGTTATAGGTTATGAAGGGGGCTATCACATACATACGTATGAAACAGAAAGTGGAAATAGTTTTATGACTAATTACCATTAAATTAAAGAAGCTGAGGTGCACAGCATGTGTTTTCACAAGATCTCACAGTTGGTAAATGACAGAGCCATCAAGCACAGGTCTTCAAACCCCCAAATCCAGGGGTCTTACCATGAGACCAGGAAGGACAATTATATAGCACTTGTGTTTCCAACCTCCCCACCCAGGTTCAGGGCAGACTTTACAGTAGATCAAGGTACTCTTTTCTGCTGAGCAAGATTCAGCCTCAGAATCCCCAACATAGCTATTTAAGGAACCAAACCAGTGAAGTTGGGGTACTCAACTAATTTGTCCTTTTGCATTATACCATGTTGAAGAGGACAGCACTCATTTGAATGCACAATTTCCGGTATGTTTGTTTAAAAATTAGAGTTCTTATGTACCTGAATGTTCATTGCAGTGTTGTTTACAATAGCCAAGACATGGAAGCAACCTAAATGTCCACTGACAGATGAATGGATAAAGAAGATGTGGTACATATATACAATGGGATATTACTCAGCCATTAAAAAGAACGAAATAATGCCATTTGCAGCAACATGGATGGACCTGAGATATCATACTAAGTGAAATAAGTCAGATAGAGAAAGACAAATATGATATCACTTATATGCAGAACCTTAAAAAATGATACAAATGAACTTATTTACAAGACAGAAACAGACCCACAGACTTAGAGAACAAACTTATGATTACCGGGGGGAAGGGTTGGGGGAGGGATAGATCGGAAGTTTGGGATTGACATGTACACATTGCTATATTTAAAACAGACAACCGACAAGGACCTACCGTATAGCACAGGGAACTCTGCTCAATATTTTGTAATAACCTAAATGGGAAAAGAACTTTAAAATGAATAGATACATATATATGTATAACTGAACCACTTTGCTGTACACCTGAAATTAACACATTGTTAATCAACTATACTTCAATATAAAATAAAAATTGAAAAAAAATTAGAGTCCTTACTTATTATTAGAGCCACATAATATGTCAGTTAATTCTTTGGTTCTTAGTATTTATTCCAGACCATGAAACCTAAGGATTGATTGGAACATAGTAAAGCTAGGTATTCTCCATAGTTACTACTCCTCTTCAGAGATCCTCTAAAGAGTTATACAAGCCTGCCTAAACAAACAGACACATCTCTGAAGATATTCTTGTTTCCCTAAGCTAATTATGTCTCCAGTTGGTTCACTAAAGAGCCACAGCCCAACATGAAATCCATACCATACAAAATGGTATAACTACCTGGCCTTTGGAATTTTAGGCCGTGTCTGTTTCCACGTACACGTTTGTTTAAATTGTTTGGACTTCCCTGGTGGCGCAGTGGTTAAGAATCCACCTGCCAATGCAGGGGACACAGGTTCGAGCCCTGGTCCAGGAAGATCCCACATGCTGCAGAGCAACTAAGCCCGTGCACCGCAACTATTGCGCCTGCGCTCTAGAGCGCATGCTCCACAACAAGAGAAGCCACCGCAATGAGAAGCCCGCGCACCGCAACGAAGAGTAGCCCCCACTCACTGCAACTAGAGAAAGCCTGTGCACAGTAACAAAGAGCCAACGCAGCCAAAAATAATAAATAAATAGGTATTTTTAAAAAATTAAGACCACCACATTGTTTAAGTAGAAAGAAAAAAGTTATAGAACTTATAGAAGTTTAGATAACGACAAACCAAATTCCTATAAATTGAAGATTCTGCTCCTAAATAACTAGCTGGTCAAAGAGGAAATGAAAACCACAATCACAATGTATTTAGAAAATAAAGAAAATGAGAAAATTGCATTTACAAATTTAGGCATACAGACTTAAATCCTGTTAAGAGACAGATTTAAAGGCACACTGTTTTCACTTTTAGAGTAAGAATGAGCAGTGACCTATGGAGCACAGCATCATTTTCACTTGATTTTACTGGTTGTTTTATCCCAGAAGTCAGAAAACAGTAACTGAAGGTGGGTGTGTCCTCCTCAAGAATTGGGGGTGATCTACTTACAATTATTCCTTTCTTACTTTTGTAGCACCTCCATCTTTCCAACCTCAGCTGTCCTCAGTGGTAGCTGGTTCCAGCACCTCCTCATTAAGAAGAGTCAGCACAGGGAACTATATTCAATATCTTGTAATAACCTATTGAAAAAAAGTGTGTGTGTGTGTGTGTGTGTGTGTGTATCTGAATCACTTCGTTGTATACCTGAAACTAACACAATATTGTAAATCAATTACACTTAAAAAAAAAAAAAGAAGAAGAAGAGTCAGCTCCTGGGACTCCCTAGTGAATATGAACTTGTCCAGCAAGACTGGTGCAAAAAAGACCACAAAACACCGTTGTGTTCAGAGCTGCTGCAAAATAATGCCAACACGGAGAAGAGGACAAATCCAGAAAGCCACAGAGAAGTGGAACCAGCGCCCTGGTGTGGCCTGAGTGGAGCATGCCTACTTTAGGACTTGTTATGCAAGATAATGAATCCCCTCATGGCTCAAGCCATCCTGAATTGGGTCCGAGGTTTCTTGAAGCTAAAAGCACCCTCACCAACACAGCATCCCAAAGCCTCTTTGTTACTGAGAACACGTATGCCTGGGAATCTTTGCTATAAACCATCCTATTTCCCAGAGGTACTAGCCAAGGAATTCTTCCACAAATCAATGAAATTCTCAGTCTTTGTAGTCAAATGCCCTCTGTCTACCCTCTTCTTTTCCTTAGCTTTATCCCCTTAGACATCTACTCAAAGACACTTCGTACACTGAAATCACTCTAGCAATACCAAAAGCTACGTGTTGCTGATTGGAGACACTAGAAGAGAAACAATGCTGTGAACTAAAGCATGTTTCCTAGTGTTATTGAATAACACAAAAATAGGACCCACTTAGCCATATACCCCCACTGCGTAATTCATCATCTGGTTGCTTTGGGAGTGCCAAAGTGCTTTGGGGGGCTTTCTGAGCACTTCTTTCCTTTCCATTCCTTTCCTTGATTGCTTTCAAAAGAACCAAAACCAAACAAAGCATGTTAATTACTAAGGGGTATTCATTATTTTGTTCAAAGCCTCAAAGCTCGAAAGAATCAGAACCATTTATTTTCTGAATTCACTTACCAGTTTCCAAACCAGCCAACATAGGGACAATCTTTAGTACTTGTTGAAATTGTTCTTTCACTGTAAGCTGTACTGCCCCTGAAGCAATGGGATGAATGCCACAATGAAGTCTTTTTCAAAAGATGTGCAGATAAGATTGCTTGGGAGTTTGGAAGCAACTTTATTCTAGGGAGCCCAGTAAATTCCAAATTAACATAAAGGTGAAATTTTCCTTGCCTACCCCAGAAGGATAATGCCCCCTGCTTTGTCAATTCTATAAATTGTATATATTCATTTTTGTCCTAGTAGATCCAGAAAAGTATAGAGAGTACTAAAACCAACATCCATATAGTAGCCATAATGATTTAACAAACGCTAACATTTTGCCATATTTCTGTCAAAACCAATTATAATGATGGATATCCCTACTTGACTCATGAAGTAAATTAAGCCAAGAGTCCCATTTCCATTTTTCTCTTTAAGGGACATTTACAATGAAACCTTTCAATTCTGAGCCTTTGCAACCATGATTTCAAAACAGAAGAGACATGGGTTCAGAAATAGACCATAAATATTCCAAATGGGACTTCAGCAGGGTTTCACTGCTACCTAGAGATGGGCTATTGCCAGTGAGGGAGTC